CCGGGTGCCTGAGCAGAATACCTGCACCGAGAAGTGGTCCCAAGTGCTATGGCAAGGCTGTCTCGGCCCTCGGGGGTCCCGGTGCACCCCTGACATGTGCTTTGTTGAGACTTGGAGTGCCCCTTACCCTGTGCGTCCCAGTCCCCACCACTGGAGGGTTCCTTGTGGTCTGGTGAAAGGAACCCCCACTCTAGGGGTCCCTTTGTCCAGCCTCGGCCACCCCACCTTCGTTAGCTGGGCGTCTTGTGCACACTTGCAACTTAACTTCATTGTGTGGTGGTCGCAGACCCCAGCAAGTGAGTGACCAGAGGCTGTTAAGAGCCTGGGAGGAGACTGCCCATCTTGGAGGACGACTTTGCACTTCAGCCCCCAGACCCTGCCTGTACGGGCACCCTCACCCTCACCCCAGGGTGCATCCCAGGGCCCTCTGGAAGAATCTGTCCCTGTCCATCCTTCCCAGGCTGTCCGGCATCCAGGATCACCTTTTCTCTTGCATACCCCTGCACTGAGCTTCTTTCCACCCCCTCTGTCGTTGCCAGCCCTGTGGCACCAGGACGCTGGGGGCCCCAGGCAGACAGCAGGGCCAGAATTGGAGAGATGGTAGGGTCGGGGTGTGGCCAGTGTGGGCAGAGTGCTTTGCAGGGTGCAGAGGTCACCGACCTGGAAGGGTGTTCCCTGAAGGGTCTGCACCCCACAGATCTGGCATCCCTACAGCACAGGGGTGTCAGTGACAGGCTAGCTTGATTGGATGTGGGCTCCATGGAGGACGAGCCACAGAGCGCCCCGGGGCACATGCCTGTTCTCTGTGCTCACAGAATGTCCTCTTTCTCTGTGCCCGGGGGCAGGGACATGGGGAGAGGTCCCTTGTCACCCCCAGGCTACCGGATCAGGGTGGCTGAGTGCAAATGCGGACAGCCAGCTGTTTCCTCCGCAGCCCCTGTAGGAGGAAGCTCTGCCCTCTGGACCCTTTGCAGTCTGCTGAGAAGTGAGGCATGGAACCCCACTTCCTGATTGCTTCCTCTGTGTTGTCGCCCGTAGCCTCCTGCTACCCAGGAGGCACCCACCCTGACCACATCCTCACGTGCCTGTGTTTCCACCTTTACTCGGGGCCCCAGCTTCTCTGAGATTTGTTCACCTGGGCTCAGGGCCCACGTGGATGCTGGTGGTGCAGTGGTTGAAGAGCTCGGCTGCCAACCAGACTGGCCACTGCTTTGGGAATGTGCTGGTGTTTGGCACCCAGGAAGGTCCCCGCAGGGTTCTGCTCACCAGGTGTCAGGTCCTGTCCACAGCACATCGGGGGGTGGTGGGTGGGGAGCAGTGAGTCAGAGGGGACAGACACCCTCCATTGGCTGTCCATGGCCTCATGGGGACAGTGGCCTGGTTGGCTTGGAACTGCTCTCAGGTGCCCCTGCTGACCTTGCGGTTTTGGTGTGTGGATCTTGGGGGTGTATGTGCGCAGGACACACACCCTGGAGGGTGTTCCCACCAAGACCTAGTCCTTTGTGGTGCGTGTGGTCGGGTGGGGGACCCCACCACCAAGGGAGAGGACAGGTTTGTCCGTGTCGCCATGGGCGTCGGCCTGCTGTCCAGAGGACCTGCACGGGCCTAATCCACAGGTTGCGTTGTTTCCCACTCTGGCACCGGCAGCTACTAGGGACCTGCGGTGGCCTGGGTGGGGAGGGGGAGCTTTGATTCTGGGGGCTGTTGGGAGGACCGCCAGCACCCCAGGTGGGCCGGGAGAGAGGACAGGGCTGGGACGAGGCTGGCCCGAGTGAGTGGGCATGCTGCCCGTGGTCAGGATGAGGCGTCATCCTTCACAGGCTTTGCTGGGCGGAGCCACTGCTGACCTTTGCCATCCAGAGGGAGACCCCAGCAGTACACAGAGCCCATCGGTGTGACTGCCCCCACGGCCTGTGTGGGTGCTGCAGGGGCCCTGTCTTTGCCCCAGGGTGTTTTCCTAATGTTAGAATTTGTGAGAGGAGAGAGGGAAGGAGGACCCTTGGGCTGCCGGCCAGAGCCCCCCAGACCACCACCAGTGCACAACTGCGCCCTTGGAGATCCCCGGGGGGTTCTGCCACGTCCTCTCGGCGCCATGAGGGGCAGGGGCTTGGGCAGCAGGGTGCCTTCTGGCCGCTGTCCCCCAGGTCTGACGCTCACCTATGTGCCCCCTCACAGCTGTTAGTGTAGGTGACGACACCAGGCCAAGGCCTGCCACTCCCTGCACCCTCCCTCATGCAGCCACTCACCCCTGAACAGGCCACTGTCCCCCCGTAGGCCTGTCCCCATGGTTCTGTCCCCCCTCGGGCCTGTCCCCATCGGGTCTATCATCCCTCGGGCCTGTCCACCCTTGGGCCTGTCCCTTCTCAGCCCTATCCCCTTGGGCCTGTCTCCCTCTGGCCTGTCCCCCCTCAGGCCTGTCACCCCTCGGGCCTGTCCTCCTTGGGCTTGTCACTCATCAAGCCTGTCCTCTTGGGTCTGTCCCTTCTCAGGCCTGTCCCCTCTTAGGCCTGTCCCCTCTCAGACCTGTCCCCCCTCGGACCGGTCCCCCTCGGGTCTGTCACCTCTCGGGCCTGTCCCCTTCAGGCCTGCACTCTGTGACTCAGTCAGGGTCCTCAGATTCCACTGTGTTTGTGGGAGGCCTGGCCTCGCCGCCGGGCTGGCGCAGATCCTACATTTTGATTTGTTCCCTGGACAGAGGGAGGCCTTGCTGGGGGGTGCTGTGGTCACATGGGGTGAGAGGACCCTCAAGGGCCAGCTCCTAACGGGATGGTGGGCTGTGTCTGGAACTTTCTGTGCAGAGTAAGCCTCACTTCCACACTGTGTTAACTGAGGCGTCCAGACTTGTTGGAGACCCTTGGGGTGCAGGGTGTCTAAGGCCTTGTTGGCTGGGGTGCTGACACCTTGGACCCACAGGGTACGAGGGCAGAGCTGGGCATCTGGTGAGACGCTGAATCCACGAAGCTGGCTCAGATCAGCCTGCCCTGGGCTGCTGGTGACCAAGTCTGTGGCCAGCAGCTGGGAAGGGGTCTCAAGTGGATATGTGGCCTTGTGCCACCCAGGGCCCCCCATCTGCCCACCTCAGCCCCTCACCTCCTCCCAGACAGCGGGCACCAGAGGGAAGGCAGCATGGGGAGGCCCAAGGCTGCCCTGCTGGAGGTTTTAGGGTCACTGCCCCTCCATTGCTGGTCACATCTCCCTCTCTCCTTGTCTGTCACCACCTGGCTGTCCCCCATGGCTGCTTCAGTTGTCTTGTTGGGGACCAAGCCCACTTCCCGGGGGACCAGTATGACTGTTGTCGGGGTGATGAGCTACCCTGGAGCAGTTGGGGGAGGACCCCAGTGCTGTGTCCCCGTCTCTGCACAGACGCTGACTGGCTGTGGGCCTGCTGTGCTGGCCCCACGTCCTGTCCCTCCCTCTGTGGGAAATGACTGGACTGGGAGGTGCCTGTGAGAGCATGAAGGAACTTTCTGGAAACAGCCTATTGTGGTGGGTGGATACAAATATCTGCATTTGTCAGGACACAGCAAACTGCAGCTTAACGAAACTGCCGTCTGACTCGGAAGCTGGTGTTTGACGGAACTGGCTTGAAAAGGGTCTGTCTTCTGTGGCCTCACGAGTTTGGGGTGCTTGCCGCCAGAACATTGGAATGTGGCCTCGGTGAAGTGGGTCTGTGGCTCACATGCCCCCGAGTTCTGACACGCCGCCAGGGTGTGGTGGGCACACAATGTCCTGACAGCACGCCGGTGGCTGTGGGCACCAGCAGGCCGTGTTCTCGGGGCTCCCTGCTGGCGTCTTCACCAGCACGCGGGTTCTGGACAGTGGTCTCAGAGCAGGGACTTGGGCTGCTGGGCAGAATGGCCAGCGCTCAGCAGGCAGGGAGGTCCAGGGCGGGCAGAGTGCTTGCTGTGCTGGAGGCTGGCCCAGAGCAGGACAGCAGATGGTTCCAGAAGAGGGGTGGCCCTGTGTCCAGCCCAGAGCAGCGTGAGAGCAGAGAGGAAGTCAGATGGCGAGTCACGAGACAGAGGCAGACACCGTGGCCAGGGCCCAACGCCACAGGGCCCCACAGGACATCCGTGCCAGGGTGGCTATGTGCAAGCAAGACACCATGTCCCTCAGATGTGCCCAAGGGCCTGGTGCAGAGCAGGTCCTGGCTCACGGGGAGGGTGTGTCCCTGTCCCCCAGGGGTCTGCCCCCGGGGGCTGGGGTGCTAGGAGGGCAGTGAGCTGAGCTCTGGGACTCGGTGGTCAGCGAGGAGGAGGAGGGAAAGGTCTCAGTGGTGAGGCCTGTCGCCGTCCCCACTCCTCAGCCCAATGGCTCCTATTCCGTAAGATCCTACAGTGACTCTGACCATCACCTGCTTAGTCTGCACTTGTGCTGGCAGTGGGGGTGGGCACGTGTACCCGTGAGCATCAGGCCTGGGCCCAGCCACTGTGGACCGTTTGGGGTTCCTGTGTGCGTACAGCCCCACCTGCAAGGCCCCATGTCCTAGGACCCCTTCCTGTGCTCCGGGTTAAGTGGGTGGGCGAAGATGACCCCCACTGGCCTCGAGCCGAGCTGCTGGCCTCGTCAGAAGTCCGCGCTCTGGGGGCTCGTTGGCCTCTTGGGGCCTCAGTCGTGAGCTGAGCAGCGATGTTAACCTGCCTTCCCCTCTGCAGTGCCCCAGATGCATGCAGTGTGACACTAAGTTTGACTTCATCACCCGAAAGGTGAGATGAGGCCATGTGTGGAGGGGCAGGGGGACCTCCTGGGGGCGTCAGTGTTGCGGGACCATGTGGTCCCCTGGACAGGTCTGGGGTGGGGTGTGGGCACCCATCTGCATGCATGAGATAGAGGTGCTGGGTGGGCACGTGTCCACGTGTGACCCGTGGCCATGTGGGACATGAGGGGGCTTGTCGACCTGCCGTGACCCTGCCCTTGACCCTGCCCGCAGCACCACTGCCGCAGGTGTGGGAAGTGCTTCTGCGACAGGTGCTGCAGCCAGAAGGTGCCGCTGCCACGCATGTGCTTCGTGGACCCCGTGCGGCAGTGTGTGCAGTGTGCCCTGGTGTCGCAGCGTGAGGCCGAGTTCTACGACAAGCAGCTCAAAGTGCTCGTCAGTGGTGAGCCGCCCTGTGTGTATGGGCCTGTGCGTGTGCCCCCGTGCGTGTGTCCCCGTATGCGTGTGGGCCCCGTGCGTGTGTCCCCGTATGCGTGTGGGCCCCGTGCGTGTGTCCCCGTATGCGTGTGGGCCCCGTGCGTATGTCCCCGTATGCGTGTGGGCCCCGTGCGTGTGTCCCCGTATGCGTGTGGGCCCCGTGCGTGTGTCCCCGTATGCGTGTGCCCCCGTGCATATGTCCCCGTATGCGTGTGCCCCCCGTGCGTGTGGGCCCCGAGTGTGTGCCTCCCGTGCATGTGGGCTTCATGCCGGCCCATACACGTGTGTGCGTGTCACACATGTGAAAACCACTTGTCAGCACTGAGCCGACCCTGCATGTTTGTGCACGAGCCTGTGTGGACATGAAGTACTCATCAGTGGTCAGCTGGCCCTGTTATGTGTGTGTACATGTGTGTGCCCGTGCACACCTGTGTGCGCCTGTACTGTGAACATGTTTGTGCACGTGTGTGTGTGTTCTGAAGGTGCTCGGCGGTGGTAAGATGCATGCTGTGCGTGGTGGGGGAGCCAGCACCCTCCGCTCTGTGTGCACACGTGGGAGAGAGCGTCCCACAGTGAGATGACCTGCTCCCTGCCGCCCTGTCCTGGTGTCCCTGCAGGTTGGGTGGGGTCCTGCCCATGGAGGATTTGGACATCCTGGGACCCTGGTTCACCTTGCCCTGGCTTTGCTGACACGGCCATGGGCTGACACTCTGCTGTCCCTTTGTCTCTGGCTCTGGGCAGCTCCAGACTTGGTCCAGAGGCCTTAGGGGCATGAGCTCTCTGTGTGTGTGTTCCCAGGTGCCCCTTTCCTTGTGACTTTTGGGAAGACGGGAACACCTGAGGCAATGGTTTGCCGCCTGTCCAACAATCAGAGGTGAGACGACCCCCCCCAGGCCATGATGCTGGTCTCTGGTGGCACTGGTCACTTGGGGTCACCATTGGAAGGTCCGTCTCATTTCTCGTAGATTCTTGGTTCTGGATGGAGATAACCATCACGAGATCGAGGTCACACGGATCTCCAGCATGCAGGTCCTAGCGGAGGGCCTGCCCCCTGGAGGTAATAGGCGTCACTGTGCACATGTCTCTGGGGGTCCCTTGAGACAGCTGGCACTGGTACTCAGTGAATGTGGCTGGAACATCAGCTCTGAAGGGGGCTCAGCAGGGTGAAGGGGGCATGACCCCCAACCTCCGAGGGTCAGCTGACGGTGTGCCCAGAGCCAGCCTTTCTGACTCACCCTCTGCAGCTTCATGAATACTCACTTTCTTCCGACTTGCATCTGGCATGTTCTGCCTATCTGGCCTGCTGGCCACTCTGTCAGTGGGACTGTCGCTGTCTCCACTGACCCCTCTGTCCACCCTACTGTCCCTTTTCTGATGGACTCTTGCTTCTTCTTTCTCTCTGCTGCCGCCCTCCCCTCGCTGCAGAGGAAGGCCTGTGCTTGCAGGCTGGCGCCCCGGAGAGCCCGCCTGCGTCTGAAGGTCAGCGCCTGGGTCCTCCCCGCATGTGGAGGCTGCTGCCTGTCCAGTCCCCCAGCCCCCTGCTTTCAGGGTCTGCAAGCTCACACTGGCCTGGAAGCAGCGGTGGTGTCACGGGGGTTCTGGGAGGTTCCCCTGAAGCTCTGCCCGGGGTGCACACTTATCCCTGTGGTGACCCGAGGCGGGGGTGGAGGGCCACCTTTGTCCCCAGTGGTCGGCACAAGTGAAAGCTGGCTTCACGCTGGCCACCCTTGGCCAGAGGCAAGATGAAAAGGCCTGGTGTGAGGGTGGAAAGGGCTGGGCCCTGTGCAGCACCCCTCTGCCTGTGGCGTGGATTTGGCCATCTCACCCCAAGGCTGACCGGGCTGAAGTCCTAGCAGGTTCCTCACTAAGTCCTCTGTCCCCAAGTGCCCCCTTGTGGCAGTCTGGGGACACAGCAAGCCTGCTCTGCCATGAGGTTTAGGGTCCAGCCTGTCCTTCCTCGGACCAGGTCAGCGCACCTGCCGGGAGCTGGATAGAGTGTGTCTGCTGTGCCGCTGTGCAAAGTGCCGAAGCAGCTGTGGCTGTCCTTAGCTATGTTCCAATAAAGCCTCACTGACAAAGGTGTTGGGCCAAGGTCCCAGCCTGCGTGAAGCCATCAGGATGCCAGTGAGGGTGCCGTGAGAGGTCAGGAGGTGGCTCTGCTCTGACAGCATGACTGGCCCCCAGGAGCTTAATGGCCTCATGGATTGATGCCCGGGCGTGGGCAGCACTTGTCCAACCAGGCTGTGTACAACATTGGTGCCTGCAGGGGTCTTCCTCCGTGGAGAGCCAGTTAACGCTTAGCTTAGACACTGCAGCAGGGGGTCCCACTGTCCCCTCACCAGGCCTGGCTCCAGATGGTGGGCGTTGGGGGGGCGGGGTGGAGTGTGTACATGCTGGGGGTGAGGTGTGCATGCCAGGATGCATGTGTTGGGAATTCTCAGGGGGAGGTGTGCACACTGGGGGTATATGGACAGTGGGAGGTGTGTGCACTGGGGTACTGGGGTATGTATGTTTGGAGGTGTGCCAGGGTGCTGGAATGAGGCACTGCAGATGGTCTGGGTCTCCTAGATCATTCACGTTGGGGTCTCTGCTACGCCCCAGGTGGGTTGGGTGAGCACGATGGTGTTTCTCAGACATGGCCCTTAGCTCAGTCTCGTCAGGCTGGACAGTAGCTCGGGGGCCTGCTTCCTGCCTCTGTGGGCTCTGGGTCCTGCGCTGGCCACGCCCCACAGCAGTGGCAGGAGGTGGAAGGGCTCTGGGGCTGGGTAGGAGCACCTCATGTCCTAGGAGGGGCTGCTCACAGGGGTCTCGGGCAGTCCCTTGGCCTCCGCAATCTGTACAGGGTGTGGGCACTGCTGACTGGCACTGGGGGCTGCCCGTGTGTCCCTCCAGCAGGCAGTGCCCGGGCCTCAGGCATGCTGCTGCACTACACAGTCCCTGGGACCGAAGGTGTGACCCAGCTGAGGCTGATGGTCGGGGAGGACACCAGCGCCAGCAAGAGGCCGGCCACAGCATGGCTGGTCGCCATGCACAAGGTATGGTGGGGTGGGGCTGTCCAGCTAGGCGAAGGGAAAGCCATGGGCACAGCAGCTGCCTGAGTGTCACTGTCCATCCCACAGGCTGCAAAGCTCCTGTACGAGTCCCGGGACCAGTGACCGCCTGGGGACAGCTATGGGCACAGATGGAGCCACTGTAGAGCAGTGCGTCCACTTGGCTCCTGTGCAGTCACACTGTCCGCTGGCACCTGCTGGGTATCAGGCAGGGCCATGCTACTGCTCAGCGCCCCCTAACCCTGGAGGGTGCCCTAACCCTGGAGAGTGCCCTGACCCTGGAGAGTGCTCTGACCCTGGAGCGGGTCTGCCGTCACGTGCCACATGCCATGTGCCACTTCACAGTCTGCCTTAGCTGTCTGCACCATCCACCTGCCGCTCACTCACTTGGGGCCATGGACACTGTGATGCTCACTGTGGGAAAAGTGTCAGCTTCGTGCCCTTTATTACTTTCTCACTTTATTAAAATGACTGTACAGCAATTTGTATAGAAAGCTTATGATTAAAACTATTTTGAAAATACAAGCATGCCTTTGCCTTGTGCGTGCAGCAATGCCCCCACTCAGAACAGAAATAGCACAGCGGCCAGTGGGTGGATGCTTTATTGTGCAGGGACACGAGGAGGGGAGACAGTGGCCATGCTCGGCCAGCATACTACAAGGACAGAGCCCTGTGGATGGCGAGAGCAGCAGCTCCAGGCATGCTGGTGCCTAGGGTAGTGAGGGCCGAGACCCCCAGGAACCCCAGAACCCAGCAAGGAGGTCATAGTGGCTCTGCAGGGATGAAGTCTGGGCATCGCTGGAAGCTGGCCTGGCCTGCCCCAGCTCCCGTCCTGTTCTCTCCCCCCACACGAAGCCATGGGGGCCCAGGCACCCACACCCACACCATCCCAGCTTCACATCTGTTGAGAAGAGGCAAATGGGGCTTGGGGGCATGTGTGGCTCATGGGGAGAGAGAAGAGGGGGCCCTGTAAATAAATTAAGTCTTCTGTGGGTCCCTCAGGTGCAGCCCTGGGAACATGGGTCACAGCGCTGAGACTCCTCTCAGGCTCTTTGGAAATGGGGCAGGGGGCAGGGGTGAGGCGGGAGAGGGGGTGTCCTCACTGGCCACCCCACAGGAACTCTAGTTTCATATTGGCAGTAGGGGGTTTCTGAAAGCTGAGCATTCATTTGAATTTACAGTAATTGGCAAAACCATCTGGGGGGGGGAAGGTCCCCCACTGTGCGCAGACAGGAAGGGTCCCGACTGCAGGTTCACATTGTGGGTGCTGACAGCTGCCTGAGTGCCGACTGACATGAGTGACCACCTCCTGAGAGGCAGCAGGACAGAGCTGGGCGGCTGTGTAGAACTGGTGCGATTCAGGCCAGGGTCCGCTGGCGAGGTTTGATCCGGGGGTATAACTAGGAGAGAGGAGCCCCTCCTAAGACCCACAGCAGTCTCTTTTGGCACTGAATACCCTCTGTGTGCTGTCCACCAGGGAGGGACACCCAGGGGGCCGGTCTGCTTCCTCCACCTTTCTCCATGAAGAACATGAGGGTCCCCCCCAACCCCCGCCAGGGCCACTGCCCAGCTCACAAAAGAACCAGGATCAGGGGGCCTAGCTGGATAGGAGATGGCGAGGTCTAGGCCATGCAAGCCCCCCTCCCCCTGGTAGCCCCCGTTTGCTGTCTTAAGTAGGGAACAGGGACTCTCAGCCACGCTCTGGAAGCAGCCAGCCTGCAGTGGGTCAGCCCATGGCCACTGTCCCCCTCACGACAGAAGCAGGAGCCCCAAGCACACACAGCCACCCCTCCAGCCTTGTGGGCCGCACTTACCCCCAGTAGGTTCTTGGGCACGTAGCCCTCCCGGTCCCCCAGGCAGGCCCACCACCACTCAGTCTCACTCTCGTCCTTCCGCCTCAGGACGGTGATGGCATCCCCTTCGCGGAAGGACAGCTCGTCACTGTTCTGGGCTTCGTAATCCCACAGCGCGTACACCACGCCCTTGTTCATCACGCCCAGCTTCTCCTGTACCCCTGGGGACAGAAGAGTCCGTCAGCCCCTAGACCCAACTCCTCCAGCTCCAGTGCACATCCACGTGTGCGCCAGAGACATCTGCCCAGGTGACACCGGGAGTTCACAGCCAACACTGGCTTCTTCCAGCAACACAAAGGAGCTGAGCATTCAGACCCCTGAACCTGACTCCCAAGGGGGATGCCCTCAAGCCCCCATGCCCTACTCGGAACCCCACGCCCTGCCCTCAACAGTGACCCCTGAGCCCCACGCCGGCTCTCTGGAACCCAAGGAAGAGCCGTCTGAGCAGCCGACTGACAGCACGGGAGGGAGGACCAAGGTCCTGGGTGGTGTCACGTGCCTGCCCCTCTCGTCCCCACCAGCTGGAACCTTGGGCCGGACTGTGGGTACACAGATGCCCGCTGTCCCCTGTGGCCTGTGAGAGGGTCAGGCTCACAACAGGGTCTCGAGTCACTGGCTAAACAAGTGTTTGTTTAACACGAGTGTCACTCACTCGACAAGGACAAAACCAGGCCCTGGGCCAGCACAGGGACAGAGCAGCCTTTCCCAGAGGACACCACACGGTCCATACCCCCGGACCTGGACAGATCTTCGGCCGGCAGCCACCTCCACCACCCGTCCTGCAGGCCAAGTCCTCCTAACCACACAGGCACTCAGGTCTCGTCACGACCAAGCCATGGGGCCTCTGTCCCAGCAACACTGCTGGCAGCTCTGAGCTCGAGGCTCCTTGGCTGGACAGCAGGCACTGGTCAGCATTGCACTGAAGGCCACTTCTATGACCCAAAAGCAGGGATTACCACACCCTCTACAAGAAGCAGAGCCCTGGCCACAGTGGGGCCATAGTGGGAAGCAGGCACCCGGGCCGTGGGGACCACGGTGGGCAGTGCCGGTCCTGGCTACCACGTACCGTACAGGAACTGGGAGCACTGCACGTAGCCCTCCTCCATCTCCTCACACTTGTCTGCTGCGGTTTCAATGTCACTGATAGTTGAGGCAAAAATGGCAGCCCCGCTCTCGACCAGCTGCTTGCAGAGGTGCACGCTGTTGCAGGAGGCAGCACAGTGCAGAGGGGTCCTGGAGAAGAGAGGGGACAGGCTGGCTTCCATGAAGGCCTGCGGTGGCCTGCTGGGCCCCATGCTCGGCCTGAACGACTTTCCCCAGCGCGGCCTCCTCTAAGGAGCTGCCCTGGACCCTTTTTGTAAATACAGCAGGCTGCAGACATCCTCCTGAACGTTCCAGGTGGGGACCCTGGGGATGCCAGTGGCAGCAGGCCTGACCTGAGGAGGGGCTCTCAATGCTGTCCCACCCTGTCCAGGGAGGGGGCCACCGCTGGCATGTGGCACGTGCCAGGTGCACCCCGATATGGCACGAGGCGGTGTGAGCAGAGGCTGGAGGAGAAGGGCAGACCGCAGACCGCACAGGACAGGAGCAGGGCTGGCCCTCAGCATCCCTTCACCTCTGAGAACCGGCACGCCCACTCGAGCCAGGGCCTCACCATCCGTCACTGTCGGCGGCATTCACATTGACCCCAAAGTCCAGCAGGAACTTGACGATGTGGTGGTGGCCGGCACAGACAGCGTTGTGCAGGGGTGTGATCCCCTCGTCGTTGGGCTTGCTGGGGTCTTCCACCTGCACACAGATACGTGAGCCCCTGCCCATCCCAGAGCACCCCGCTCAGGGAGGGGACTGGTGACACTCACCTCGTAGATGATCCGCTGCACCAGGTCAAACTCCCCCTCCAGTGACGCGTCCAGGAGCAGCGCCAGGGGGTTGAACCTGACCCTTAGGCCGTGCCCTGTTCGCTCCGAGTTGGGCTTCTTCAGGTTGGTCCGCTTGCCCTGGTGGAAGCAGGTGTTGGCAGGAAGTGCTGGTAAGCTCAAGGGCCTAGCTGCTGCTCCCTGGAGGACAGGCCTAAGCTGGGGTCCCAGGCCACCCTGCAGTACCCCCAAAGGGCACAAGCCAGGTCTGTCCTCCCAGAGATGAGAGAGGTGGGCCGTGGGCCCCTGAGGGCACGAAGGCCCAGCTGAGGCCGCCTCAAGGCCCTTCTCCTCTCATGCTCCCTGCCCACCCCAAGGCCTTTGGAAAAGCTGGACTCCTTGACCCCCAAGATAATGCTCTCAGCCTCGCCCCTCCTGCTGTGTGTGCAGCTGGGTGGGGGTCCTCCCTGGACGGCCACACAGGAGGGACGGGTCGGCTCCGGGTCCCTGTCCTGGGAGCCATCACACCGGGCACGGGGTATGCCAGAGCCAGCCTGGCTGAGGGACATGCAGAGAGGCACCCACCGTTGAGGCTGCACATGTTGGGGTGCTGAGGGGTAGTGGCAGCAGAGGGGTGGGCTCGTCCACTGGAGATGGCTCTTCGGCCACCGGGCTGGGGACCTGCTCCGTGGGCGGGACCGTGGCCACGTTGTTGTTGTTGTCCTCAGTGGGCTCGGAGGGGCGGGGCATGGTCTGGGGACAGGTGTGTGGCTCTGGCTCAGGGGAGGGCAGCTCATTGTCATTGGCATCTGAGGACGGGGCCGGCTCGGCGGGCAGCGGGCCTGTGGGCAGGGAGGGCTCCTCCAGGTTCCCGTTGGCATTGGCGTTGCCATTGTCCATGTCGGCCAAGGCACCCATGAAGTCCTGCGGGGCGCCGGGCTGGTAGAAGGGGGCCCCCTCCATCCCGCCGGCCAGGGTGTTGAAGCGCTGGTACAGCAGCTTCTGGATGTTGGGCCCGCCCGGGCCCTCGGGCTCCGTGATGGAGCTGCGTTTCTTCAGGGGCCGCGGCGCGTTGGCCAGCTTCCTGCGCAGGGCCTCCAGGTCGGCGTCGCTCTGGTAACGCAGGGGCGAGTGCACGATGGGCGTGAGTTTGGTGGGGCTGAGGGGCCGAGGCAGGTTCTCCACGCTGCTGTCCCCGGCCGCGGCAGGGCTGTCCTGCTCCACCTCCTTGTCCACACACTCGCTGGCCACAGAGGGTGCGTTCGGGGGCAGGGAGCCATGGAGGAAGGGCAGCGGCGATGGAGAGGTGGAGCCCGAGGGTAAGACGGGCTTGCCGTACACTGGGGGGCACAGAACAGGAGAGCAGGTCACTGTCTGGCTGGGGCCCTGGACACCCTCCTGGACGGTCCCTGCCACACAAGAGCTGCCAGGGCGTTAACAGTGGGCTCCTCCACGCCCCGGATGAGGCTGGCCTGCCTCCTGTACTGGCCAGGTGTACGGCTGGGCTTCTGCAACCTGACCAGCCAGCCCCTGACCAACAAGCCTCCCCAGGCTGTGCCCAAGAAGCGTGAGCCAGGCACTGGTCCCTCAGGGGCACCCCAACCCCGAGAGCCCGTGAATGGTGCAAGCAGGTGCTGTGGCACCCCCCCACCACGAGTCCCCACACCAACGGCTGCAGCTGCGACCAGTGCCATGAGAGTGCGGCCAGGCCCCTCCTGGAAGGGTCAAAACCCTCCCTCGGGTCCTCACGCAGCTGGCCCTGCCCGGGCTGGGGGCTGGGGTCCCCTTCTCCCGACTCCATGTCCCCAAAGGAGCACACCCAAAAGATCAGCTCCCACTCCCACTCATGGGATGACCCAAAAACAGGAGGAGGAAAGGGGATTCCTCAGACAGGACACTCACACCCCATTCATGCACCCCGCCCAGCTCGGTCTCAGGAGCACCTGGCCCTGCCTGGCGGGGCCCGCGGTACCTGCTTTGACAGCCTTGCCCACGGTGCCATGTGTGGCCTGCTGGTAGCTCTTTGGGGGCGTGGCCTGCTGCAGGTACATGGAATAGATGGAGCTGGAGTTCACCGTCTGAGGGCCCTTCCGTGGAGACTGCGGCCTCGACCCCTTGTCAGCCAAGAAGGGCCTGATGGCCACGGTCAGAGGGGGCTCAGGTTTGCCATCTGCAGCCTGGAAGGCAGGTGGCCCCGAGGGGTACGTGGGGCTCGGGGGCACGGAGATTCTGTGCTGGATCTGCTGTGAGGTGCCTGGCTGCTGTGTCCCACTGGCAGGCGGCAGAGGGGGCTGGTGTGAGCCAGGGGCGGGCAGTGGGGCGGGCTTCTGCCGACCGGCCAGGCCTGCGCCGGGCCGCGGCAGGCTGCCCTCCTTCCTCCTCTCCAGGGAGTCTGTGGGGCCAGGGCCCAGCGGCGTAGGACTCGGGTACGTGCCGTAGCTCGGAGGCAGCGGCTTGCAGGTTCCTGGGAGGGGCGGTGGCACCTTGCCAGTCTCCATGCCCTGAATCGAGACGTTAAGGTACTGAGTCAGCCTTGAAGAGGTGGGCACACTTCCCCTTGGCAGCCCTCTGGCGGGTGTGCTGACCAGGCACAGGGCTGTGGGCCGGGACCAGCCCCACTGCCAGGCTTGTCTCAGCTGCGCTGGCCTCAGCACAAACTGTCCACACGACGAGGGCCGCTCACGGCTCTAGGGTGAGGTTCTCCAGGGCTCTGGGTGTAACTTGGGGTGTCACCATGCAAACCTATCTGCTGGTACCCCACCTCACTTCCAGGAGGGCTGCTCAGAGGTGGGCGGACATGTGATTGCAACAGAGGACAATGCCTACCGGTACCGGCTTCTCTGTGTCTCCTAAGGGTGCGAGAGACGGCGGCTGGCTGGAGATGGGACCCTGCCTCAACGGCCCCTCCACGCCCACGTCCTTCCGGTCTGCACTGGCCACTGGGGCTGGCTTCATGGAAGGGCTGGGATTCTGCTTCAGCGCTGGCCAGCTTCCATCGTTAGCTTGGGAAGAACACACGAGTTGGTCATTCTCCTGACTTGAGGAGTCAAGAATAGCCCCATCCCAGAACTAAGACGAGCCCAGCACTGGGCACCACCAGCAGGGGCACCAGGTGCCACCTTGTGATGACTCGCCAACCACTGGTGAGGGCAACCTCGGCAGGCTGGCCGTGTCCTCTAGTGTCCGAGGCCCCGGTATGGAGCTGGTGACCAAGTGGCTGACTATGCAGTGTCACTTTGAATCACTAGAGGTCAAGCAAGCAGCGTCTCACATCTCCAGGCTCAGGGACAGCCTCGGTGTGTGAGGGACAGGGCTCAGGGAGGCACCGGACGCCCTTCATATCCCCGCCAATCCTGCAGCCTCAGAGCCAACAGCGTTCCAGCCAGCTGTGGCTTCTTACGAGGCTGACCGCAGCTTCCAGCAGGAAGAGGCAAGGGGGCCCTAATCAGACAGAAGCTCCAGTCAGAAGCCCTTTCTGACTCAGAAGCGAAAGTGACTTCTTGAGGATTGCAAGGCAGTGACAGAAGGTTCCCACTGGCCATGGCGATTAGAGACCCAGACAGCACCCCAGTTCTCTGGAAAGCAACCCACAGGTGTTTAGAGCGTTTTCCAACCTGAACAGGGTGCAAAGGCATTCTCGCTTGGTGACTGAAGGACAAGACAGTGACGTCAATACAATGTGACACCTAACCTGGATCAGCACCTTGGACTGAGAGCAGGGGATGTTTCAGCACCACTGAGGAGCTGTGTGACCCTCTCCACCTGTCTCCCGTCCTGGTGGCAGGGGTGCCAGGCCTCCACTTGGAGTAGCTGCCCTGAGCTCACACGCCCCAGCTGCGAGGGGAGAGGGTGCCCTGCAGGCCAGGATGCCATGCTGGTCTTACCCCTTGGGCCTGGGGAGGCCCTTCAGCCCCTCATGCCAGGTGGCCTGTTGGATCCTCCAGACCAGAAGGACATATGGCCAGGGTGCGGGCACTTGAGGGCAGAAGCCCTGAAGACAGAGAAGTAGAGCCCCAGGTGACAGCTGCAGCCAGTGCCCTTTGGGGTCACCTGCGGCTGCCCAGCGGCTTCGGGGTTCCTGACACTGTACAGCAATGCTCTTTTCTCATTTCCTGAGACAGCAGGAGAGCGAAAGGACTTTTCCTTTTACAAGGACAATTCTCATTACATATAAAAGGCTGTTGTACCAAAGAGAAAAACAAGAGCCTCGGGAGGAAGTCGGCAAAGCCTGCGCTCTAGACCAGCACCAGCAGCTTGCTCTCGGGCCTCTGCTAGGGGTCCTCTGAGAAGGTCACCAGGTAACATCACGTGGGGATAAGTCTGGATACCACAAGCAGACCTCTGTCAGTTTGGAAAATGAGCTGATTTGACACTTAGTACAGATTTTTGATTGAGAGCATGTTAAAGACATTGAGGGGGTGTGCCCCTAAACCTGCCATTGACATACAATTTACAGACGGGCCCACGGAGCGTGGCGAGGAGCAGAGGGCTGGCCTGACATCCAGATCGGACACTGTCCATGGACCGGCCACTGTGGGCTTGCCATGACCATCTGTGTGATTCAAGAACCAGGAGAGCCGTCAGAGCTGCTGAGAGGTCACCTCTTCCAAACACAGCACCACTGGGGGCCAGGACATCACCTCTGATTTGGGGGTCAATATAGGCTCCTGAGTGTGGTCCCCTCAAAGCACAGTGCAGAGTATAAGGCAAGTGCTGAGGTCCTAAGAGACAAATGTCGAGCTCAAACCGTCCCCTCCTGCACTGTGCGCACCCGAGAAGTGGGCGCACAGGACACGCAGGGCCTGGGAGGTTTTCAGATGCAGTCAGCAGAGCCGCTGAGGATGATGGGAAGAGGGAGCCAGACTTCCACACCTGAAGCCCCTGGGGACACTGGAGGAGCGGGGAGGGGGGGGTGGTCAGCACAGACCTCAGACCCGGGACTGCGGGGAGCAGATGAGGGGTCAGCACAGACCTCAGACCCAGGACTGCGGGGAGCAGGGGGTGGTGAAGGGTTAACAGACCTCAGGGGCACACAAAAGCACAGCGGTCCTGAAAGGCCGCCTATCCAGGCCTAGGGGGGCAGCCTCAGTGCTGGGTCCCTCCTGACCCCGGGTTCTGAGAGTCTGTTGGAGAGGACGTCAGTACAGAAGGAAACCTGTCCAGAAAGGACGCCTTTGTTTCGTGTTTCCTTCATGTAAAGCTGAGCAGCCTCCCCCACAGGGGAGCGAACCCCACAGAGGGCAGCACTGTGCTGAGGGTGGGTCACGGTGGAGGACAAATGAGGGCCTCGCCAGGACACTGCACACACATGCCCACCACACCAACAGCGTCCAGGTGTGGTGAGCAGAGCAGGACTGGGTAGACCCAGCCCCCAGCGCGGAGGGAGGGAGGCCCCCGCAGCACAGCTGGGTAGAGACAGTGGTGCTCAGACACTACGGTGTCGCTGACCCTGTGACCCCAGGAAGGACACCCGAGTGGCTGTCTGAGCAGGTTCAACAGCCACGTGGCAGAGATGTGAGCTGAGTGAGGAGACCTCGCGTCCCCTGCGGGTCACCATCACTGGGGGGCACACGGCTCCAGGCTGGGGATGGGCACCAGAGTCCCCACGCCAGCGCCCCTCATGGCCCACTCCTTCCATGGTGCTTTCCCCAAGCTGCCGGCTACCTTCCCCCAGACAAGGCCAGCCCTGCTCACCAGACTTGGATCGCCCGTGTGCCGTGCTCGAGGTGATTGTCAGAGACTGGGGCTTCACGGGGTCCCCCGGGACAGGACAGCTCCCGGCGCTGGGCACCTGGATGTACGGCCCCACCGCAGCCACTCTGCCGGACGTGTTCAGCGAGGACTGAGGGGACGACGTGCCGTTCACCCGGCTCAGCTGCAGGTGGAGAAAGGAGGGTCAGCGTCCTCTCAGACACGTGGACCTGGACCTGCTTGACCTGAGGAGGGGCATGGTCAGCCTGCAGGGCAGCATCCAGATGGACCGAGGGCCCTGCGCGAGCGGCTCCAGCTCTTACCCCCCTCCGTTTGTGAATAAAGTCGCTAAGTCAAAGCCTTTCTCGGCAGCCTGGGCGCATGGGCGTCTTCCCTGGCCTCCAGCTGCCCTCCCCCGGGGGTGTGCAGCTCTGTCTAGCTGTCAGTGCCTATTCACTGGGGGAGCCCGGGGCCTTGAACTAAGGCCTACTCACCTCTGGGGACTGAGAACGGGGGACAAAGGACTTTGTGTTTTCCTTAAAACACTTCTATACTGTCAATTTTTTTTCCTCAATGTCACTACCTTGGAAATGCAAAGTACCAAATAAAGGTAATTTTTCAAAGCCACTAGCCTCTTACATGCAGAAGGATGGGCCATCTCCTCCTGTGCGATAATTAACTGCCTCTGAAAGCCCTCCTGAGGGTCAGGGGTCAGTCCCACTCAACGGCAACGACAACACAGCGTCTTACCTAGCCCTGTGGGAGTTCACTGAACATCTCCAACTGGGTTACTGCTAAGAATCTTTTAGAGGGTCAATTGTGACCCCTCAACTTGACGAGGGTGTGATTTTCAATATTATATAATGATCCTACATTTTGTGATCTGATGTAATTACCCTACTCGTCATAAATTTTAAGCTCCGTGATGTTAAAGAGACAAAAATTAATGGCAGTTATGTGAGAGGCAGGATGAAAGCTAAGGAACTGGACTGCATTTTCAAGGAATCTTTGCTGCAATACAAGAGGGAAAGCAAGCAAGAGCAGAGCAGAGGGGCCTCAGTGCCACTGAGAAAGGAGACTCAGGGCCCTTCTGCTGGGGACCTCCTGGACCAGACAGAGACCAATACCAAGACACAGAGACCTCAGGAGTCCCAGGCCCACCCACCCTCAGCAGGACAGCATGTCCTTCCAGAGCCAGCAAGGACAGTCTTTTCTTAAACTGGCATGCTGAACTTGGACTTCTAGCCTCCTAAAGTGTAAGAAAATAAATCTGTTTGCTAAAACGTGGTGAAACAAAGTTTGTCCTTGTAGGCAAGGATTCTGGGGCTCAGTCTCACACACTTTGGGTACATGGCCAGGAGGGACATTTCCTTGGAGAAAGACATCATACTTGGAAAAATGGAGGGACAGCGCAGGAGAGGAAGAACCCAGATGAGATGGATTGATACAGTAACTGGGGCAATGGAGGTAGGTGTGTTGGAGTCAGTGAGACTGGCTCAGGACAGGGCAGGGTTCAGAGCTGCTGTCCACAGGGTTGCTATGAGTCCAGGGCTACTCGACGGCACAGAGCATTGTGACAATGAGCCTGTGAACAAGGACATGACGGGGAGGGGG